GTTTTCCACAAGCTGATGTTTACATCCCAGAGTGGCACTGAACATGTTCTGACTAGAATGTATGTGAATTCAGGAAAGTTAGAACTTAATTGTAAACTCCACCATGGGCTTTCCTTCTGCTTTTAAAAGAAAAACCTCCGTGCTGGGTTTCTGCATGCTGGAGACAGTGTGTGAGGGAAGGGTTTTCTTGTGTTACATCAGCAGCACTTCAGTGTTACAATTTCCCTTGAAGACAAATTTGTGTCAGAATTTCACCAGGGATAAAATTCTTGTCTGTAAAACTAGGATTATGAAGTGAACCAAATTCAGCCCTGAAGTAAATTAATTCCCATTCCACTTCTTGGGAAAGGAATCTGGATTTAGCCCATTGTGTTGTACAGGTTTCCATGGCACGGCTGTTTCAGCAAAGGCAGCATTTCTCCAAGAGCCACAGCTGAAGAGTTGCAGTGTATCTTCCAGACCAAGACAGTCGCATGATGGAGTTACTGGCCAGGCCAGAGTCCAAGGAACTCCAGTCCTGGCTGAGCTCTGCTGCTGAGTTTTGATTGACCAGCTCTTCTTTTGTCCTTCCATCTGGTATATTTATATCAGGTTTTTGAGAAATACCAAGTCTCTGATGATCTGTTTGGGCAATCTAATGCTGCAGTAACCCATATTATTTCAAGCTTTTATTGTCACTGCAGTACCATGGGGGACATTAAAACAAATGCCTTTCCTGGCTAGAGAGAGTGTTCTCTTAAAATAGCTGTTTTGACAAAAACTAACATTGTTTTCAGTTTTTGCAACTCAAATCTGAGCTGCTGCAAAGTGCATTTACACTGCATTTAGGAAGTAATGGCATTGAGGGGAAAACCCTGCTAGTGAGTTTGAGGAAGAGGAGCAACAGGAAGAAGGTAGTTCTTGTTGAAAGGAACTCTCCTCTGCAAATCTAGGTTGGCATGTCAGGCTGGAGCAGTTCTGACTGAAGCCTTTCCTTTGCTGGGCCAGGCTGCTTCCTCTGGGTCCCTTTTTTCCTGTATTTAAAATAATCAAATGAGGATTTTGCAACAGGGGGATTGATGGGCCAACAGCCTGTCTCCAGCTGTGACCACTGCCACAACTGGTTACAGGGGAATTGAAGGACTAAGCCAGCAGTGGTTTGCAATAAAACTTCCTCTTTTATTGTCTCATCTGTAGTGAATATAAGCTGGAGTTCTGAAACTTTATTACTTTCCCTCCCCTTTCCAAATCCAAAAAACCACTCTGAATAATTATGTTAAGATTGTTATGATGTAAAGTCCAAATTGTAATTTAATTTCCGTAATTTTCTTTTGAAATTTAGTGCCCAGGCTAACAGTTAAGCCCTTAAAATTACTTTTCTTCTCTCTGGTCAACATGTTGCCTACCAATAGCCTTTTTTTTTCCTAAACAATATGTTATTTTCAAGTAGAAAAAATTACTGGTTCTTGCTAAAGTTTGGAAGAGTATGTTTATGTAGACTCTTCAGTCCACATAATTGAACACTGAAAGACTCTAATTTTATTGCTAGGGCCACTTTGTAATTTTTCCCTGAGGCTGTTTTTTGCTGCACAGCAGAGGTGATGACAGATGTCAGATGGATGCTGTGCCTGCTCCCGAGGGCCGCTTGCTGCACTTGTTTGTGCCGTGAGCGGCAGGAGCCACATGATGGTTTGTGTTTCTCGGGAAGCCGCAGTGGGAGATCAACGCAAGGTTCATTCCAGGCAGCATTAGCCTCCAGGTAAAGCCATGCCTCCACGTGCTCCTGTTCCCTGGGCTCTGGCACCCAGCATTCTAAAAAGCCCAGAGAGGCAGGCCTGGTGTGGGCAGGGAACAGACAAGTCTGAGTCGGAAGGCGTTACCAACACTCAGAGCAGTGCCAGGGCCTCCTCGCTGCCGCGCCTTGGGCAGCGCTGGCAGCGCTGCCTTCCCTTGGGCTCCTGTTGCAGATGATAGATAAATATGATTGTTCATAAATAATACAGCTAGGATGAGAACAGTTCTCCCAGCTGGCCGGATGACACCCCTGCCTTTGGATGGGTCCTGGGGTGAAATGGACTGTTCCATCCCACCCCCCAAAAGATGTATGGTTCACCCCGCACCTCTATCCCTCCCTTAAAACATCAAGTCTCTGTAACCCCATTGGCAATGCCTTATTCCAACCCACCTAGAAGCCCCTTTATAAGGAGGCTTCGAGGGGCCACACACTCTCTTGGAACTTCCTCCCCTCTTGGAACTTCCTTCCCTCTTGGAGCTTCCTCCCCTCTTGGAGCTTCCCCTCTCCTAGACCGTCCTTTTGTCGCTCCCCTCCGCCACCCTCTCAGGCCCGGCCACGTGCTGCGCCTGGGAGCACGAGGCAGGACCTTCTGCACCCCCAATAAACCTCTTTCCCCAAGAGCAACCATCAGAGATCTCTGCCTCCTTTCATCTACACCATGCTGGAGCGTGCTATTTTCCACAGGCTCCCTCTTCCAAAGTCAAAGCCAGCTTGCTGTGAGCAGGCAGAGGATGAACGTTTCTGCCCAAGGACAAGGCAGATCTCTAAGTGATACCTTATTTTTATCTCTGACTAGTTTTTTTTGTAAGGAGCTGCCCAGACTGATGGGTTTTCCTCCTATTTCCCCTGTGAATGATGGGTGGGGAGCACTGACAGCATGATGTGAATGTTGTGACAATGCTGTTCAGAACTAAGGGAGCTGGAGGATGTTATATGGCATCCAAAGTTGTTCTGGCACATCTTCACTGGATATTGCTTTACCCTCTGCTCCAGACAGTTGGACTACTGATGATTTCTGGGCTGGGGAAGAGGATATCATAATTCCATCAGGATTGCAAGGGTCTCAGTAACTATTAGGGACAGATAGGAGAGGGCTGTGATATTGAACATGATTTGATAGCAGAACAGCTACACAAAGTGTCCAGTTAATTTTGGTTTTAATTCCCTTAATTTCATAAATTGCAGGTAAGGCTGACAATGGAATTTGGACTAGAAATGACATGTAATATGTCAGTAACTAGAAATACCTGACTGTATCTGTCCTAAGAGAAGTAAATACACTCTGCTGGTTCGCTTGATTTGATGCTGGTTTCCCTGACTGGGACTGGGGGATATTGGGCATCTGAGAGGATGTGGGGAAAGGACTAAGATTTCAGTAAGTTAGAAAAGATAGAGATATGTGCATGTGAACTGGTTATTTCACCCTTGCATGTGTTGCTTTTTCAGAAGGCTGATGATTTAGACAGAAAATGATACCATATGTGCCTGACAAACTGCAGGGGAGTTCTGCTGTGGCAGTGGGCCATGGGAGTGTGGTTTCACTCATGGACTGGGATTTCTATTCCATATCCTATCAGTCTGCTTTTCACACTCTGTGAGGGCTCCACGCCCATGTTTCTATCTGCAGACAGAAACTGTAAACCAAGAGAGAATCCAAATTGTTGTGCATTGGCTCAACAAACCATACAGGTGTGACTAGGAGAGGAGTTGCAGCTGTACTTCAGTGCTGATAAAGGCCAGTATGCTTTGCTACGAATGGTCCTGGTTCCAGAGATGTGGAACTTAACTGTAAAAGTCAGCTCAGAGGTTTGGCACAAGAGTTTTCAGAATATGAACCTGTTTTCTTTAACAAAATGTGCTGAAGGTGTAGGAGTGGGAGTTGTTAAGGTAACAACTGATGAGGTAAAACCGTGTGGGATTGCAGCTCTGGACCAGCCTGGCTCATGGTAATCATCTCCACCTTCAGCCTGTGGAAAGGAAACAGCAGGGTTTCCTATGTGTACTCAGAGGAAGAGTTTAGCCCAGCTAAGAAATTAAGAAATCGCTCAATAATATGTCAGAAACATTACATTTTTCTTTCCAGGTTTTTCCAGGTTTTGCAAAGTTTCTTTTTAAAGATGGATGCAGCTTTTCCTTCTTTTGTTTTCTTTTCTTCCTTCTTTTGTTTTCATGTTTCCACTTATTTTGTGTTTTGCTTCTACCCTGTGTAGTTCTCTTTCCGTATTTCCTGTTAAACCAAGAGGGATGTGATTGTTTTTGTTTAACTTGATCTGGAACAGATTATGGCATTGCCAACAGTTCCTGGTTTGGTGTGCAATAGAAATCTACCCATGGACTCACGTTGATGAGATTGTGGAAGCAGTATTTGCTAGGGAATGCCAGCTCCATGGCTGGCATAGGAAGCCTAGCACATGCTTCAGGAATACTTTAAAGCAGTATTTTGAACTTTGAAGCCAGTAGATTCACAGAGGGCAAAGGATGGGAGAGTTCTGTTTGTTGGTGTTCTTTTTTTTCTGAGCGTGTTTTCCATTTTGCAGTGGTTGGGGGCACATGATGTTTGCTTTGGGCAGGATGGGGGGACATCTCTTGGGCATCTCTCCTGGGAGAGGAGCACAGAGGGACCATGTGGAGTCACCTCCCAGGAGTGGCATTGCCTCAGTGTGCTCCCTGTGTTTCAGCAGCTGGACACATGGGGTGTCCTCTGTCTCCCTGACATTATAGGGCAGATCCACATCTGCAGTCTGGGTGTCTAAGGTGATGTGAAAGGCTGTAGGGTCAGACCACAGGTACAGGGACACTGCAGCCCAATGGCCCCAGAAAAGGGGAAAATGGATCTGCCCTGGATCTCCCATCCAAAGCATCATCTGCCCATTTATATTCTGCCTTCTTTCCCCTGCATTGTACTGGTTTTCTATGGCCCACAGAAACAATGCAAGAATCATTCCTGTGCTCTCCCACATAATTTAAAAATATGCCTTCAGTCCTTATTAACTTGGGACTTGGGATCTGCTGCTGCTCATCTGTGTGAAGCAGGAACCAGGCCCACACTGAGGATTTTGGTGTTTATTTTCCCAGGTGTCTAAAGGCCCTTTTTTTCTTTTATTAAAAGGCTTTTTGTCTTGTTTGAAAAAAATGGTCAAGCGATTGCCCTGTGTTCTTGGGGAGGAATCTCTAAGCAGAAAATGAATTAATCCATTTGGATTTTACCAAAGACTTTTACATTGAGTGGCTTTAAAGTATATTTAAAATGTTTATTTAAAATCCAGAGTCAAATGATTTTTAACAAACTGTCTCAAGATAGAAGAAACTGACTTTTTGGAGTAACTGTATTGTTTATTTGTTGTATTGCAGTAGCACCTAGAGATCCCTACTGTGCTAAATGCAGAACAAACACAGAACAGAGCTGGTCCCTGCCCGTGGGAGCTCACAGCCTTCAGTTTGGGGTCAGCCAGGAGCTCCTGGGCTCTCTTGGGGCAGTGAGTCAAACCCCACAGCTTGACCTTCCCATACCCCAAACATAGAACAGATGAAGTAAAAGGCAAGTTTCAGAGAGCTGAACAACCTGCCCTTTCATGCTGTACACTTCTCCAACTGATTTTTCCCAAGCTGTAGTTACCAGGCCTGGGGCTGAGCTGTGTGGGCTTCCTGAGATCACTGCTGCTCCTTGGAGAGCCGTGGTTTCCTTGTTCCCAGTGTCCTCAGGCAGATACAGGTGTTTGGAAAAAAGGAAGCCTTTTCAGTGGTTTATCATGTATATTATTTTTTTAAATTTTTCTTTTTTGCGTTCTAAATTCTCATTCTCATTCAATACCTTTCCATGGTTGCTGCCATAGAGGGGAAGGGGGAAGGATATACCAAAAAGCAAACTTGACATCACACATGCACACTGTCAATCATCAAAGTATCAAAAACAAAGCTTGCAACAGCACAAACTTGTATAAATGTGGAGAGAAAAAAAAAAGGACACTGACTAAGCACATCAGGCCATCTTGTCCCTTTTGGCAGCTTTAAAATAGGGTGGAAGAAACTCACCCATTTTTTGAGCTTGTCTCCTGGGTCACCATCCCATCTTTTTCCATCTTCTCTTCCAACACTCAGCTATAGCTGGAGGTTTGTCCATTCTGATTTACAGAGCCTTAGAGAGAGTCCCAGGGAGGGATGAACAAGGAATCCTTCATGTTTGTTCATGCTAGAACAAGTCAGGGGCTCTTAGGGGCAAAATAAGCCACATGGTAATTTCTGTAGACCTGTCTGTTCCCTCTCTACTCTCACTTGATGGCAAGGCTGGGAAGATGATGATGAGATTCAGCAAATGAACAGGAAGGGGCAACTTGTCTGTGCTGGTTTGGGGCAGATCCCATCTGCTGTCTGTCCCTCCTGTGTGTAAAAGAGCAGGGGAAAAGCCATTGTGCCTCATCTGCAGGGGGTGAAAGGGATGGGGTGTGAGAAGGAAACCCAGAGCCAAAAGCCTAATTATGAACAAAAAACATGCAAGTCAGAGCAGGGGGGAGGAGAGGTCTGGACCCTGGCAAACAGAAACATTGGATTGTGGTTTCCAGTGTGTGCTTCAGCCTGGAGCTGGCAGAAGCTGCGTGGCCAGCAGCTAATGCTGGCAGGAGCAGAGCATGCAGCAGTCTGGCATCGTGGGAGCAAGGACAGCTCTGTGGGCTGAGGTGCCTCTAAGTGTTACCCCAGAAATAAATAAATAAAGATCCTGAAGCTGTGCGTGTGGCTGGTGCAGCCCAGCAAAGCTGTCTCTGAGGCCCTGCTCAAGGAGACCCTGATCTTGTCCTGTGTCTCAGGCAAGGGCAAGGTCAGGGAACAGCACTTTAAAAACACAAGCCAAACACAGGGTGCTCTGAAATTAAATCCTTCTGCCTGCATATGACAACATTTGGTTCCTAATTACTTGTTTTGAAATGTTTTGTCACAAACTTCCTTTGGAAATGGAGAAGATGGAAAAAAATGGGATGAGTGCTCCCTGGCCCAACCTCCCTATCCAGATCTCCGCTTAGAGCTCTCAAGAAAGAAGGGCTTCCTCAAAGAAGTCTCCTGTCCACGTGTGATGCAGCAAATCTCTGGAAGCTCCCACTGTGCTCTGAGGTTGTGATACCCTCTGTAGCTAAGGAAGAAAAAACAAATAGTCTTTACCTCTGTAGAGGTGGGTCTGGATACAGTCATCTGAGTCTCACATACCCCAGAAGCCTAGGAGAGCTTGGATGTGGACTTCTGTAAGCTGTCAAAGGGACAGGCTCAAACAGAAGCTGTTTGGATGTGAATCCAAATCCAAATTCCCACAGAGATTCAGCTGCCAGTTGGCTGGAAGCCTTTATGCTATCTCTAATTCCACAAAAGAAACAAAAAAACAATAAAGTAAAAGGTGCTTTAAAAATACCATGAGGAGAGAAACTGCCATGGAAATAAATAGCAAAAATAACAACGTTAACATGTCCGATGTCACAGCAACTCTGACATTCAAGTAGTGTGGCCATGCCCACAGAGCTTCTCCCAGCCACTGCCGGCACGGCCCGAGGGTCAGAGCTCAGCTGGTGCCCCGCTGCTCACTGAAACAACCCACTCCTCCCTGGGGCTGGAATGGAGGTGAAGAGAAGGGGAGAGGAAAGATGGATGCAGTCCCTGCTGATCATCAGGTCTTTGCTGTGCCCGCCTTTAGCGGGACGGAGATACAAAGTTCGTGGTTGTGTCTCTCCTTGGTGCAAGAGAGAAGGGAACAGCAGCAGCTTCAGAGCTGGAAGGGATATTGCTTCAGGTATTCCCCCATCCGCCGGGGCAGGGGCAGCTGCTCCACGCTGGCCGTGCACTTGTTGATGCGCAGCCGGCACAGGTGCTGCAGGCTGGGAATGCTGTCCTTGCGGCCCAGCGGCCGGATGAGCTTCAAGTGTACTGCAGCTGCTGCCAGCTCTTTCTGCAGGGGAGGTAGAGGAGACGGAGGCGGGTAAGGAGCCTCGGTCTTGCTTTCTGTTGTGCAGGACAAGACGTAGTGCTGGATAAGGCTGACCACATCTGGGAAGGCCAGGATGCGAGGTTTGGACAGGTAGTTGGAGTCCAGGCGGAACTTGCTGTCGGTGTACTCGATGCGCACGTTGGTGGGCCCTCGGTTGGTCTTGACGGACAGGGTGAACAGGTAGCTGGGGTGGGTGCTGTCCCGCACCAGGAAGGTGCCCTCAGGCATCTTTTGCAGATGCTGCTTGGCCTCACTGGCAGTGATGGAACCCCAATACCAGCCTGGAAGAACATCCGAGAAAGAATTTGTTAGGGAAAGAACGTATTCTAGGGCTGGCGGTACATTTAGGGAAGCCTTGAAGACAAATCACATTAAAGGCCTGGGAGGCAACCAGAGCCAGAGCTGGCAAGACCTTCATAAATTAAGACCAAGTTCTAAAGGTTTCCTGCCTATGCTTTCCATTGCTGTGCTAGGGCTCGGGATGAGGCTGCTGCAGCAGCTGCAGTTTACAGAGAAAAGGCAATTTGCCTTTTGCAATTCTTTCTCCCAGTTCAGTTACAAAAGATAAAGCAATAAATTAGTTCATTATGTAAGTTTGTAGAGACTACAGACACACTTGGTGTGTGCACAGGAGCCAGTCATGGCTGTGAAAGAACCAGGTTCCTGTCTGACTTTGGATCAGGAGATTCTTCCTGGTGCTCAGATTGTGGCGTTGGGTCCCTGCACCCTTCTGACCCTGTGACTTTGAAATTGTGTCTTACCAGATTCTCGCAGGTAGGAGAAGGTTTTTGCAATGCAGAGAAGGTCTTCTTCAGGGTCCCGTGTCTGAGGTGGGTTGCTGTCTGGAACTGGAGCTGCAAGGGCAGGTGCAGACTCCTCCTGGAAGGCCATAACTGGGAGAGGCTGCATGATGGGCTCTGACAATTCCTCAATGCCCCTGAGTGACAGTCTCCTGATCTTTTCCTCCGCCAGCAAAGGATGAGGTCTGAAATGAAAGGCACACTCTGCTATTCCTTGACATCAGTTGCAGGGTCTGTTCAGTGCATGCTACATTGTACAACATGTTATGTTCTACAAACAGATCCTCAGCACCATTGTTTCTGAGAGAGGCAAGGGAGGAGGAAGGAACACAGCAAAAGATGAGCCCTTAGAAACAGGGACAGTGAGTTTGCCTCTTTGGCCTTATAGAATAGGGTCGGTCTTGTGATTTAGGATGATTTTGAACCTGAAATTTTTAGATGTTGCTTTTTAATATGTAGTTTCAGGGGCAGTAAGGTTTATGAGCATTACGGCTTCAATTACATGAGTACGATGTTGGAGCATTTCTGTTTCTGCCAGTGAGATTGTCATTTACAGCAATATAATTAGAAGCAGAATTGGGAATAGCTTGGGTTTTGTCCTACCCACTTTCTGCTCAAGGATGACCTGATCCTAAATGAATCTGTCAGAACTCAGAGTGAGCTGATCATGTAGGAGGACAATGGGAATTCTTGTTTTAGCCAAGCCTGTGCACTACACCCACCCCACTGTTCAGCAGCTTGATGGAGGAGTCAGTGTGGCCGTAAACCCTGCAGGACTGCAGGAGGAGGCTCTGCCATGGCCAGGCTGCTAGAACCTGTATTCCCCTGTGGCCTAAGTGGTGTAGCTATTCAGCATCTAAATGCATTTTCACAGAGCCTGGAGCTCTCATAGGTGCTCCTCCTGAGCAGCACAGGGATTTCTAAAGGAAAGCCGATCTCTAGGAGAGGATGGATGTCAGAGGCCAGGAAAGTCTTCATTCCCAGGCAAGCCCCTGAGCAAAAATTAGTTTCTGTCCCAGTGTGTGTAAGCTCTTTGCCTCTGTATCCCTCGTCCTGCTACATGTCCTGTGTTACATCCCCCCACCATCCCCAAAACACCAGTCTTTCAGACACTCTAAAGAAGGCTGAGAGAAACACACTCGGTCCTCAGCGTGACACTGCCACAGCACCACTGGAGCTGACAGTGATGGCACAGGGTAGAGCCACCTCCCCACATCATTGAAAAGCAGAAAAACTCTGAAGTCCTAAGTGCTTTCCTTTGGATTATCCTCCTTCCATGTGCTCTGTGTGAACAGGGACACTTCAGGTACATAAATAAATGTGCTGTAAACTGATCTGCACCTGATCATAGCTGCACTCCACCACCTCAAACTGCTGAGACTCAAGTATGGGACAGAGAACAAGAAGAAGAGATGAGGAAAGAAAGTATATTAGAGAGAACCTGGAAGCACCTTCACACCTTGTGAGAACCATGACCAGTTCCACATCTCTCCATTTCTAAACAAACCATGGAGGTTTGGAGTAAGGTAAATTTAAATCTACAGAGAGACACTCTTGCTCTTGCAATACATAGCAAACCCCTGCTATTCTGTTGGTATTTAAGAAAGAACATTCTTTCTATGTGTCAAATCACATTTCAGAAGAAGGATACCTGCTTGGCTTTCATGGTATCTAATCGATGTTTCTTAATTTCTATTAATGGGTAAGAAGCCACGCTAAATAAAAATGATTGCTGGCCCTTGTCCTCACCAGGGACCTTTGGTTGCAGGACCTGCATTTTCAGCGGCTTTTGTACATCTGGATATATTTTTATACCTGGAGATCATTGTTGGGAAAGCTCTGAGTTCTCTTTTAAATCCTCCTGGAGATACATTTATAGGTGTGGAGGGCTCAATTTTTCAAGATATTTGGATGTCTCCCTCTTAATGTTGTGGTCTTCACAAATGCCTAGCTACCTGTCTCCTTGGGGAAAGGAGATTCCCAATTCTCCATTACCCCCCTTTTTGCGCAGGAGGACCATAAGCTGATCAGCTGCTTGGAGCATGGTGCAAATAACACCAAGGTCATGGATTTGATCCCTATATGGGTCATTCAGAGTTGGGCTTGATCATCCATGTGAGTCTCCTTTAACTCAGAATGTTCTGTGATTCTGATCCTTGCCTGTGCTGAACCTAATTACCAATTGGTGCTGTGCAGGGAGGGTGTCCTGGGCCTGCTGGCACAGGAGTGTCTCTCATACCAACTGTTTCCTAAGCTGAAAATGACTGTGACTGATACTAAAGAAAATCAGTCCCACACCATTCACTCGCCAGGACTTGAATACTACAGTCCAAGTGCCAAATCTCTCTGAACTTTTCTCCAGGAAAATTTTTCTGGCCAACCCTTCCAGAAAGGTCTGGAACATAAGAAAAACTTTTAATAGTGTGCAACTTCTTTTCTTTTTATATACCAACTTGAGAGAGGGAATCAGGAATTGCCTGAGAGGCGGGGAAGGAAGAGAGAGATACAATGCTACACAGGGAAATGTCTGCCATGAATCGGGAGGAAAGTTGCTTATTTCAAGGGCTGTACCAGTTCATAGTTTGGTCCTCCAAAAACCACACCAATTGTGTGAATTTGTCAGTGGATTTCTTTTACAGAGCCCATGTGCTTGAGATGAGTTCTCTCACTCTACTTGTGCTCTGCTGCCTTACGCTTAGCTCCCCGGGAGGCTGGAGGAGCCCAGACCCCATGCGGGTACTGTGGGGATCCCTCCACTGCAGCCAGAGAAAGGCCAGGCTCACACATTTCCTTCTATCCACCGCCCTTATGCCCCTACAAAACCTCCCAGTGTGGCTGTGGGCTCAAAGGAACATGGCGGAAGAGAGGAGAAGGATTAGAAATTTCAACAGACTGGGAGGCGCTGGTGTCCAAAACAACTTCGTACGTAGGCTGAAGGAAGGAGAGCTGCTGCTGGGAGCAAACAGAGCAGCTCCAAGCACAGGAATGGAAGAGCATAGGGATCAGCAAGTAATGGCAGGCTACAACTTTTAATGCAAGAACATTTGCAAGAGAGTTAAGAAGAGTGTGCTGGGATAAGGACAGGTTGAAAAAGGTTTGCTGACATAAAAAAGTCAGCCCTTTGGTGGGGGCAAAGAAAGGATTTGCAAATAGTGCTTGTAAGAGAGAAAGCAGAGGAAAGACGTGGAGAATCAGGACTGAATAGAGCAAAATGTTCATACAACAGCTGTGAGGAGGAAGAAAACAACCATATAAAATTTGGCATGTCTAGCTCAGAGTCTGGGTGCACTCTCCAGAGAAACAGCCAATGAACTTCCCTATGCTTTGGCAGTTAGTGTTACAGAAAGCCTTGGAACAGCAAGAAAATTCAGGAGAATCAGATATGTCTGATACCATTTAGTGCTGGCTTTGTAGTTATTGTGCTGATCAGCTAAACTTTATAACACAGTATAAACACTACAAGAAACAGTGTAGAGTTGCTCTCCCTTCCATCAGCCACAGCCCAACACTCCAGTGGGAGCTTGGTCTGAATAGGATGGAAAGTATGGAGTCCAGGATATAAGAAATCCTAGAGGATAATAAAAATAGATCAATAAATGGCCTTCAAAATAGACATTAAAAGGAAAACATCTACACATCTGGCTCCACCAAGTAAGTTCTTGGTGGGTAAGGGAAGCTGTAGCTTTGGTATGCTGACCCTGAAGAAAAGCTTCAGATAAGGGTTTCCCAAAGGCCAAACTGAAAACTGAATTCCCTTTGCCATGGCTATAGGAACTGCAGCTGCAGACTGAAAATAAGAGTGAAAACAAACACCTCATAATAGTAGGAAAGTAAACACAAACTCTCCTTGTCTGTGGAACAGATTTCTGGGGGGGAAATGGCAGAAAAACCCCCGTGGTTCAGTCACTGTAGGCAGACAAGGAAGATTTTACTCAGAAAAATCCACCATACGCTGAAGTGGTAGGAAAATCTGACATGATGGCTCAGACTGAAACAAATGCTCACCATTTCCAAGTATGCAACATCAGGTATTCCTCAGCTGATAAACTAAGCTGGTCACAGGGACACTGAAGTGCCAATACATCAGTGCTGATACCAGAGAATGCATTTGGATGTCACCTGTTCTCCTGAAGGCAGATGTGGAACTATCCATGTGCCCCTTGTGCCTCTCACTCTACAGAAAGCTGTGTGTATATACAGATACACTTAAACTTACACAAAACTGACATTAATTTAGCATAAATACTTCCTTAAACAAAAAGACCAAACCACCTAAACTCCAGGGAAGTTTTTCCCTGTAAGCAGTTTGATTCCAAAAGAAATTTAGAAAACACCTATGGTCTTGGATTGGTATCTGCACTGGTGCTGTGTCCACCACACTGAACAACACGCTCCAAGTTATTCTTACTCTCCCAAACACTTTGAATACCGTGTAGTTTTTCAGAGCTAGAAAGCATGGAAATCAGGAATACCTTATGGTTCCATGATTTTGGCCTTGGAATCTAGATCACAGGCACACAGGACAGACACACAGAACTCAGCACTTGGCTGGCCAAAGTCATTCCCATTCCATTACAGTCGCACACGGTAATACACAGGAGCTGAAAAACTGTCACAGAGAACCTTCCTAATTACAATTATCAAAGCACAGCTTTTCACAGAAGGCTGCAAAGTATCTTACCCCTGAACACAGAGGATCATGTCACTCCCGGACCAAGGGAAAAGCATTAAGTCTTCAAGAAGGTGAGAAATTATTTCTTCTCTTCTTGCCTTCTTTGCTTCCCCGAAGCAGTGAGTTCAGCCTCAGTTGGGGTTCACGGTGAGAGAAGGGTGGCGAGTCCCAGCAAACCCCTTCGGCAGGTTGTTTCAGACACAGGAAAAGCCAAGCAGAAGACAAGCTGTCCGACAAAGACTTCAGCAACTTTGGCCAAGAAAATGCGTGCAATCTCAGTGCTTTAGAAAAAATAATGTATTCTTGTTCTGCTTTTCAGAAAACAGCAACAAAAAATAGTTTAAAAAATAACCAGAGAAAAAGGAAATTATATATATTTAAAGAGGAACTGATCTTCCTTTAGAGCACTCCGAAATAATAATAAATAGGTACCAATAAATAAGATCTCCCCGAGTGCTGCGGGAACAGCCGGAGCAGCGACCTGTCTCAGCGCTGGCTCCGGAGAAATGAAGCTCCGTGGACGGAGG